ACGTGTGTTTACACATCCTGAACGAGTTGAGCTCCAGGACTGTGGCATTGAATTACAGGATTCTCATCCTGGGCACGCCCACAAGCACGCGCCAACGCCCACACGACTCAAGGCCCTTTGCTGGTCAAAATTGCGACGCAGTTGCAGAAATTGTGTGTTCAGTGGGGTTCCGGGCTGGTCGCTGGCTGTTGCACACAATTTGTTGCATGCAACCAGTTGCAAGAGAGGGGAAGCCGCAACGGGGCCAAAAGAGGGCAGCGCGGGCAAGGGCAGCCTGAAATAGCTACGCACTTGACTGCACTTGTCACACGCAATCTGCGTCGCTTTAACCACATGCTCCAGCCCCCATCCACCTCTGCCGTGCCCTACGATATGCTTGTGTAAATTATTTTTAAAATTCACATATTTAATCAACTGTTAAGAGCCGAATATAAACAGAAAAGTCATCTATTTATGCGCTCCCCAAGTCAACAATTCATTGTGTTCTACTATTTTTAATGCGACAGTTTATATTAATATATCGAATATCGAATATTATTCTAAATTTAAATGCTTATCGATCTTTTTTGAAGACTATAAAGTTTTATCGATTTTTATTCGCAGCTATCGATCAAATTTAATGCCTTCATATTGAATACATTCATAATTTAATTCGATTGATTCGTTTATCGATTTGAATTCACGATTATATATAACATTTCATACTTAAATATTGAATACAATTATTATTATCTAAGAAAATTACAAGCCGATTCACATTTGTTAATTTTTTATTCACAGTTATCGAAAATACTTAATGCTTATTTATCGAAATCGGTTTTTTATCAAATATATATCGAATAATTTATCGATATACTTTTTTTTCTACCAACGTAAAAAACAACATTTTGAACTTAAGTAAAAAACGAGTTAGCCCCCTTTTATATGCAGTAATTGCACTTCAGGCAAAAAAACAAAAAACAAATCGCACAAATATTTAATAAATTTGATGTGCACATGACAAATATTTGTAGGGTCAACAGAAAACGTGAATCATTTTCCGGTTGCAAGCAAATGCAAATAGTCGTAGAAACTCGAGCATAAATAAGTATATTTTTGGAGTCTTGACAACTTTCTGTCTGCGAGGCCGCAGATGTCACAAGTTGCCCTTTGCCACCACCCCCCATCCTCCTTCCGACCTAATACGGTGCGCACATATATGTACTGTATTCATATACTCACACACGGATTTACACTCATTTAGTTGCGCCGCCAGTTCAATGAACGACTTGTCGCTGCGGTTGTTACTCATTTTGGCGTTTTGTGCGCCGCAAAGTTTTACCTAATTAAATCAACAAAGTGCTGGAAAAACCGCACACGAACCAACTAACACAGACACACGCACACAAGCACACCATTTGCCAAAAAACAATAAATTAGAGCTGGCTTATAAATGAATGAGTCTAAAACAAAAGCTTATTATAGTCAAATGCAATTATTGAGCCATAATCAAGCAACAGCGAAATAATCAAATTCAATAAAATAACAAGAGTAAGAGTACAATGCCGACTAGCTAATACCCTTAATTTAGCGATATGCTGGCCTCAAAAAGATTCTATCGCCTGCATGCACAAAAATCACACGCATGAGCTTCTTCTAGCCTTTCGGCGCTTGAAGTCCGATCAAGGTGCATTTTTCAGTGCATATATTATACATATGTGTTTTTATACCAATTCAATATAAAGATAGACTGAGTTATAGATGCTAAATATATATTTACCCATATATAAACTCGTCGCGCTGATCAGGAATATATACACACATAATACATATAAGTCATTATATATATATATAATTGTATCACCCTTAAAGTGGTTCGGATATTTTTCATCTGCCTGTTACATACATTTGCACGAAAACAATATACCCTATTTACTCATATAAAATAACTCAAAGGACTCTCACGCTCAAGGGTTAAAGGGGTTACGCGGTGGCTGTTCGTCTGCAAAAAAGTAAATATATCACAATTTTTCTGATTAACACGCGCGACGCCACAAAATGTATCCTAATCAAAATATGAAATTTGTTTAAATATATTTTCTCTTTTATGCAATTATAATTGGGTCGGCGACGTTTTGAATTTGATGTGGGATATGCCCTGTAATAATGGTAAGGGTGGGGTATCTTCACTGAATGAAGAAGTTCGTTTTTTAAATGCATTCCTTAAAACAAATAAAGAATTCAGTTATTGCAACTCTACTTCCTCCAGTAACTCTATATGAAAAATAACATAAATTTTATGCTAAATGTTTTTTCTGGTTATATATATATGGTAACTGCAAGTCGAGCATGCCCCACTGATTTGTCGTGCCAGAAAAGGCGCTGTCAGACAGTCCCAGCTTGGCAAGGAGTTGAGGGGGTCTCAGACAACTTTCTGTCATAATTCACAAAGAATAAGTAAATTAGCGAGTCAAGCCATAAATTAGCTTTGCTGACAAAGCCAAAGGAGTGGGTGAGAACGTAAGGGTCAGAGGTTAAAAAGGAAAGGGGCGATAAATATGGGAAAACTTAAAACAACTTAAGATTAAATAAAGAGATGTGCACTTATTTTATATACATATCTTTCGTTTTTCACCCATTTTTCGCATGCGGAAGTGAATTCATCACAAAAAAACTATGAAATTTCTTCAAATTTAAACAAAGTAATATATGAAACTAGGCAAAATTGTTCTTACAGTAGACCTTGGCTTTTAAAATTTAGTACAAAATTCAAAAAATCACAACCAATATTCCAATAAACTAAACAAAATTCTCGCAAACCATTTTAGAAGGTTCCAACCGAAGATCATTGGCAAAATGAAGGGCTTTGCAAATTGGACAATCAGTTTGGGCCTGGCTCTCATTATTTGGCTTGTCTTTTACTATTCACAACTGTTAGGGGGCAAAGAGGATGAACAGCTCATAGGTGAGTCGAAACACGAATTGGGATCAGGGCAGGCGTTGTTAGATGACATACATATCGTATATAGGAAAAATGATCTTTACATATTATAAACTGTAATTTCACACGATACACAAGAGGAAAAGACAAGCATTTTATTCAATATGGATACTAATAATCATACATTAGATAATGAACTGCAGGATCCATTTACGGAAAGCTGCAAGACCAGCTCGGTTGATGTATATCTGCATTTCTTTTGGATCTTTGCATGCATCTATGCGCTATCGAAATTCACGGAGCTATCGGAACGCTATTTGAGCGCCAAAATTGCCTCCAAGGAGCGCAGCTGCGATATGCGTGTCCTTAACGAGGAATGGGAGAAGACATTGAAGCTCTATGAGCTGGATAAAAAGCAATTGGACGCACAGCTACAGGCGTTGCGCGAAAAGAACTGCGGCCTGGAGCAGTCGATGCGAGATTTACGCGATTGCAATCTGCATTTGATCAGTGAGAACTTCATGCGCACCGTGCTGCAGGATCAGCAGATTCAGGGCTTGGCCCAGCGTGTACAGGATCAACAGCCGCCAAATATTTATATTACCAATCGTCACATCCATTTGACACGACAGGTCTTCCTCAACGAGGGACTGATCGATATCGATGTCAATCTGCGCAACGCTGGCGGCCAAGAGCTCAAATCTCCAGAGCAATCCTTAAATGTCTGGGTGCAGTATCTGAAGATGCGTAAATGTTATATGGGTCCCATTGCCGATCCCAAATTGGTGCTAAATGGCGGTCCGGATCGTATGATGCCCATTGTTATGACTACCGAGCAGTTGGCCAAATTGCAGGGTATGTTACAACTGCAACATTTCAGAGGGCATAAGAGTTATGTTATATAGAATCGTTATTATGTTATATTGCGTAGAAACACATGGAAGGAACTTTCTATATATCAAAGTGGAGGCATGTAGATAAGTCGTAGCTCAGTAAGGATCTAGCTCCCTTCATAAGCCTGTCTGTCTGTCTGTCTGTCTGTCTGTCCGATCTGACCGATTTCGATTTAAGTTTACTTCTTTTTCTATATCTCCCAGCTTTAAGAATACGGGTTTACATATATCGATTTTAGTCATAGTATTACGCGTACATTTTCGGTATCTCGTACCTTTTACATTATATCGATATATATCGATTTTGAGAAACAGTTTTAAACATAACTCGTGAATGACGAAAGCTACTTACAAACATTTCAAATATGCATGATGCGTACGCATGATATCCAAATCTCATCGCAGTTTCGTAATATCGATAAATATCGATTATGAGATAAGATTTTTTAAGCATAGCTTGAAAATTTTTAAAAGCTTGTATGCATAGAATACACAGATGAATACTGTTTGGATACATTTTCCTCTTCTCACACACATTCACAAATAGTCATGGACTTTGGCATGGATTGCTCGAAAATTAATTTCTTGTAGCAACAACTTTTATCTAACATATTTTAACTAAACGTATTCCCATTTGTATTTTCTGTATAAATATTTTTCAGGCATGATCTAATACCGGTTTGAGATAGTTCTGTTCGTTTATTGGCATTCCGTGAGGGAGCCAGAGAGGGAGGGAGAATGCATGCACAAGATAACCATAAAAAAACTATCGAAAATCGAATGAAAAAAAATGTTTATTTCCGAAGTTGTCCCGGAAGAGAGGAGTTTTGTGTTGTTGCAAATATGTAAAAAGCAGCATGTTTGCAACAGTTATTCATTTCATGTTACCAAAGAAATCTTTGGAGCAAAACTTAGTTGATTACTAGCATTTCGTATGACAGCAAAAAGGTAAGTCGACGTCTAGGCAAACGTACTGCTCCAGCCAACTAACACAGGCATTCTTCCAGGGTATTATCCAAGCAAAAAGAACAAAAAAAAAAAACCAAAAACTGGTCATTCGAAATGCTAGTAAAATGGGAACTTTCGGGAGTGCACGGCAAATAAATAGTTGGCATATCAAATGCATCTATATGTTCAATATTTATGTGTGTCGTCGTATTCTATATATTTATTACACAATGTGTGAATTTACAGTATTTTAACTGGTATCTTATGTAAAACTTATGGGAAATACAGAATTAAACGTCATTAAATTATATGTAAAGCAATTCTCTTTGCCTTCAACAGCCTTGCACCAGATTTCCAGCGTTTGCTTAAGCCTATAACTGATTGCGAATTATAAGCGAATTGGTTGTTTTCATTTAATAATACTTTGCTTCCTTATTGGTTTGGCCAATCCCACGTTCGAACGAATATTGGTATGTGGTACTTAAAAATTTAGTGATCGAAATGTATTCATCCAAATTTCTAATTTAGTTTCAATACAGTTTCCAAAAACTTTTCGTAAAATTTGACTGTAAATTCACAGCTAAGAATGAGGCAATTTTTCCCCATTGAAAATGGGAAAAGAGTATACAAGCTTTAGAAACCAAGGCTGAGAACGCTTTAAAAATTGTTGCTTTGAAATTGGGTTTGAACTTGCATGACTACAATTCATGGTTCAAACCTTGATTCGTCACAGACATTATTGCTTTCCTTTCAAATGTTTTTGTAATGAGCCGGGCTTTAAATGAATTCAATCTAAGTAGGTTTTAGGCTTGGTAAGAGTTCAATTTGTATCTTTATATAGTTATCTTTTATCTAATGGAAAAGCCAAGTGGAAGAAAATTTGAATACGACTTCGGCAAATGTTTCAAATTGCTTTTAAATGACTTTTTATAAAGTCGATTGCCCGAAAGTATTGTTGTCTGCCGAGCTCATTAGGCTTACTTGCCGCAATCAGCGCTAATCGATGGGCCTGCCACATGGACACCAAAGAAATGGAAAATAAAAAATCAAAAAAAAAAAAAGAAAAAAAAACCGTAATAAAAAGCTCCAAAAATGTTGCAGTAAATACAATGGAAGTGCATTTAAATGGCAATAAATCTAAATTAACAAAAAGTGACAATAAAAAACAAATATGCAAAAAATTGCCGCTTTGCCAGACGGGCAAATGACCCAGAAAAGAAAAGAAAACAAAAAAAGTAAAAAAGAAATGAAATACAATAAAATCAAATGAAAAGTGAAATACAGTTTAAAGAGAGCGCACAGACAGATGCAAAGAGCAGCAAAAACAAACATGGCGACTGTCAATATGTGCAAATGAAATGCACTGAAAAAAAAAAGAGTGTGAAAAGGCAACGGCAAGTGGGATGGCGGTGGGGGGGCTAGCTAGCTGTTAACCTTGAGCCGGCGACTGATTACAAAATTGCAGCGATAACTGCCAGTGACCCCAGCGGCATTAAGTGAGAACAGCTTGGAGCAAGACGAGAGAGAGCGAGCGTGCGAGAGAGAGAGAGCGAGAGCGAGAGCGAGAGAGTGAGACTGTGATAAGTCAGCGTAAAACGTCATCGCTGATTTCCTGGCCCAGCCAGATGTTGTCACTCTATTACCGCCGAACTCTAAGCAAAAAGAAACATTTTGTGCTTTACGATTTCATCGGAAATTCTACAAAACGTTATTTGCTTTGCGCACTTTTTGTGACATTTCCTTTTCACATTTACTTTTAAGGATTTTTTTTGTGTTTTGACATTTTGCATAAAAGAACGAAATATCGATTTCCGTTCAAAACTTGCAAATTTTTAGCAAAAAGAATTCTTCAAATAACGAACTGTTTCCAAGATCTCGCATGTATATAATTTGTAATATTGTCATTAATATTTATTTGTTTGTGTTTATTTATAAGTATTATTAAATATTATATTAATTTTTAAATAATTAAAATAAAAATTTAAAACATTTATAAAATTATATTTGTTATTTGTTATTTATTTTAATTTTTATTTGGTTTTCTTTTAATTTTTCTCTTATTTTTAATTTATTTTTATTTTTTGCTTGTTTTATATATTTTTAATGTTTATTTTTTATTTATTTAATTTTCATTATTAGCCTATTTTGAACAGTTTTTCAAGAAATGATTTGTTTTACTTCTTCTTCTTGATCTAGTCATATGGTAAAAATCTTTTTAAGTTCCGATTTAGATTCATTTGATGTTATTCATTTATTTTCCATTTCAATATTGCGCTTATTTTTGTATTTCCATTAAGAGCTGAGCTTCTTATGGTTTCTGCGTTTACCCACACTAGTTCAAACGGTCCTCCAACGTTTTAGCACATTTTTATATACCATTATAAACTACACTGCGCACAATTTCTGGGTCAGGGCTGGGAATGTCAACAACATGTTTCGATTTAACGCCCGCATGTTCTTACCAAGTGCTGCGCTACGTATTTTTAATTGTTTTGCGACATTGTTGACGCCCGCTCTAGACCACCCACCGCCCAACACATCCCCCATACCCCTCCCCCTCCCCCCACACTTCTCGACGGCCCTTACATAAAGCTGTGGCTATTGTGACGCAGTCTCTTGGATTGTTTTTCATAAGCTCTGCGCAAATATCAATTGCATGCACAATTTCTATTATTGATAGAGACAACAAACCGCATCCCCCCCCCCCCCCCCCCCTCATTAGACCACGCCCACAACAGACTTATACAGTATTACGCACTTTTGCTGCACAGCAATATGCATATTATTTGCATAGATAATTTGTTTACCTCACCCGAAAAATCTCAAATTTCCCAGCTGCGTAATGTTCGCCATTAACACATATACATGCATACATATATATATATATAGAGCGTATGCATATATAGAGCGAGAATAGAACAGAACTGCGAGATATCTAATCGTTAATTGGCACACTAACCCCAAACAAATGGGCAATGGGCGGGTGTTTGCCATTGGCCCCATTTGACTGACTGATAAAAATAGTTTATCAAGGTTATTTGCCAAAAACAACAACAACAACAACAACAATTATAAAGTAAAAAAAAAAGAAAAGCAGGCAAAAAACGAAAGCGAAATCGAAAGCATGTGGGTGCCCCATACAATGGACGTATACAAACCGAGCCGTACCTAACCGAAAACCATAGAAATGAGGGAGTCGCTAGGCGAAGTAGAAATACTCTTTTAACAAAAGATGCCAAAGTAGAGAGCCTCTTTCGTCGCAAAATCTCGAGTACACTTTTGATCTATATATCATAAACATAAATATATAAACATATTATGATAATCTTAGCGGTATCGTTCGAAGCACAAACTCGATCCTTTCTTCGATAAAACTCCAACACGATCTCCTTTCATTTGTTTAGTTATATCGATACATAGAGAAATTAACAAAAAGTTCTTGAATAATTATCGATTTTATGCATATATTGAATTAATTGTTGTTATTTGTAATTATATCCGAAAAGTCATCATAGCTATGCGATACAACGATTCGACCTATTCGACTTCTATATATATATATATCAGTATATAGGGTATATATATAGCGAGTTGCATTGAAATATATATAGATATATATTTGACTTTGGAAAAGTCTTAATTAACTCCCACAAAAACCTACCCGAAATTCTCTCCCGCCATGTGTCACATAATTCGCAACAAGTCCGTAATACCCCACGACAAAGGGCATAAAAAAAACAGCAAAAGCAACACCGAAACCGCAACACGAGGAGTAATTGAAAACGACCTTGAGATAATGGCCTCATTTATGCAGATATTTGTGTGTTTGTGCATGTTTGAGTGAAATTCTTGAAGCTCCACGTTTGCTTAGCTGCCAAATGAACCAGGAACCGGGTGTACAACAATTGGAATTAGCTATTCAAATGTTAACAATAGACACAACAATTGAATAACAACAACAAAATAGGCCAAGCCGTATGTATACAAAATAATATGTTTACAGTTGCATTTATCAAATGCTTAGCGGAAATAAAATATGCTTAGCTAGAAGTCATAAGAATTGAGATTTGATCTAACTGCATAAGATACTTAGATACAACTACAAGATACTTGGGCAAGGCAGTGCAATTTTTGTTGTGAATTCTTGCAAAATCTGTTGGAATTTTTATGAAAAGTTTTTTGATAAATATAAAAAACTAATTCCTGTAAGCTATCGTAATTCAAACTATTTTATTCATACATTTTATAACAACTTTGAACTTTTATTTTATTGCTTTATAGTCTCCAAATACTTAAAGAAAGAATTTCTGCAACTTTTCTCTACCTGGACAAATTTTTCAAAAAAAAAAAAAGTTTGAAATAATAAAAATAAACAAAAAACTTTGATATATTATAGAATATTTCGAAGTTCTATTATATACAATATTTAAGATTTTTATGTTCTTTTTTTATATTTCAGAATTATTTTGTATTCTTTTAAATAATATATATTAATATTTAATGTAATATATTATAATGTATAATATTTCAGAATCTATATTTTTCTGGAAATTTAAAAAAAAATAATATACTTAAAATAATTATAACATTGCAAACTTCGTCAAAACGTTTATTAGAACTTTGGTTTTATTTATTTTTGAACTCCAAATTCTTAAAAAGACAATTTCTGTTCCATTTGATTTCTCTGAGAATTTCCACAGCATTAAAAATATATTAATCTGATAAAAAGCACATATTTATTGAGTCATAAAGCAGTCACATTTAACTCTTGTCAGTAAGAAGAGTAAAAGCAAAGGGAAAGAGACGCTAATCAAATTCTGTGCCAAAACGAGTTTTCAATTTTCGATAATAAACATCGATACAGCAGATAAATAAGTAAAAAGTGCGCCTGTAATTTGTGAATTTTGCACAGAATTGAGACTCATAAATCAGCATTGACAAACGGGCAACATAAAAACTCAATCAACAGTTTCTGAAATACAAAAATTCAACGGTTGCAGCAAGTTCAACAACATCGCAATGCCAAATTCCATGGAATATCTAAACAGCTGACGGATTCTCATGCGTCACATGACAAAAAAACGAAAAAGAAAAAAATACGAAGCGCTGCACATTGAACTCAAATTTCGCATAGACATAAAAAAAGGTTATATAAAAATCAAAATATTCTGAAAATAATTAAACGATGACGACGATAATAAAACAAGACCAAATAAGCAGCTTAGGCAAGGAAATAGGAAAAGAATATAAATATCGCGTCAGCTACAAATATGATGCTAGTGAGTACCCTAAATGATATACCCTGCATATGCATATCCTATTTATCCTTAACAATCCTTTTTTATCATTTTCTATAGCACGCATACTCGAAAGGTCCTATGCCCTGGATAGAATCCAGTGGATGCCCTTATGCCATATACCCAATGCGCGGGATAATATTGAGGTTTTAAGGGTCTATACCTTATGTCATATTTCCTATTGTAAGGATTATAGCCTAAGCTCCATACCTTGTGCTACACACCCTGTCGTATACTCTATGCACCAGATAGCATATGTCCTACGCTTTATGCCATAAATGGCCT